AGATTTCCCCACCACCACCAAAAGGCAAATGCATGTTCTGTTCACGGCCGATCTAAACTACACTGTTTGCATAAAACCACGTAACTTGTGTCGATTCCACCACAGGCTTTTTGTATGTCTGTACCTAGCCAATAATAGATCGTTGGCCATTGTAGGGATAGGCCATGAAGGGCCTTCAAAACAGGCTAATGTTTAATAAGTAGGGCCCTACCGAATTCATGGCAAAAGTGGGCTGCATTGCAGCTCCTTTAATCTTGGAGGTTCCCCTGTACGCCACCCTCCTGCCTAATGCTGATTGGCTGAGGATCCCCTGTGGCACTGCTGCTTGCTGCTGACTGGCCAGGAGGCAAAAACAGGACCATATTTGAAACCACAGTTTTCCCCTCTATGCTGATCAGGAGAGAGCAGTGGGGCCCCTCTGCCCATCAGCAGGGGTGGGTGCACAGGGGAACCTGCAAGATTAAGGAGCTGCCGCGCAGCCCACTTCTGCCATGAACTTGGTAGGACCCTATTAATAAGATAAAAGAGGAGGAAACCAGTGGAGGAATGCAAAGAGAATGGTGTGTGGATGGGTGCATGGGAGACCAGACAACGGTGAAGGAAGAGTCATCTTGCCAATTATTTCATGCAAGAAATTGATGAAGATAGACAAAGATGGCATCAGGCACAGAGGACAAGTGTGGGAGATTGCAAGAGAGAGTGTGTGCATCAGGAGAGCAAACAGGGAGAAAGGCTGATAGGGATGGTTTGGGTGGACATTCAATGACAAAAATGTGCAGAGGAGGAAAGGAAAGTTGGATGCAATGCTATTCAAGGAAGGAGAAGGAGTGAGATGGGAAAGGAGGATTGGAAGAGGAAAATGGCAACTCCAGAGGAGGTGGCATGAAAGAGGGGGAGGCCTTCAGAAGAAAGGGCAGGCATCATTTTGGGGTTGGAGTATGGATTATTGCTCCAGGTGAACTGAATCTCCCTACTAGGTAGTAACATACTTTAGCTCATGAAACAAAATGAAATTGTGTGCAGAATAAGATGCTATCAGTAAGATGCTCCTTCAGCCCTCAAAGGGTTGAAGGTCCTTTGTTTCTGTAGGATATATTCCTTGAGATTTTTATACCATTTAGCAAGGACTGCTCTTGCCTTTAGGTGTCTCTGTCAAGCCAGATAGAATTGGAGAGCAAAATGAGTATTAAATTAGATTTTCGGGAGGTGAAAATATCCTTTGGTTTCAGTGAAATACATTTGAATTAAAGACAGCTATTTTTTAATCTGTGTTTCTTTTTACATTTCTCTTCAAGGGTCACCCTGGTAAATCTAAACCAGTATTCCCAACCAGGGTGCCACAAGTCCCTCATCCAATGAGGGATACCTGGAGTCTCAAACAGGTTGAGGACCACTGATCTGAACGGTGGGTTTAGTTCAGCCCTGACCAGTCCGTGCTGGTAAAGCAAAATACCCTTCATATTTTTTTAGCTACTGCTTGACCTTTGGTAGTAAAAGTGTACCTGCTGTGGACTCCCATCCTCAGTGATACCAGTCAAGCACCGAGGGTGGGGTTGCTTCTGGGTCAGGTTCACACAGTCCAAAGCCCCTGTCTCATAGCGGATTTGTTCTGTCCGTCAGAACTAAACAGACAGTGCAAGAATGCTATTATTTATCGACATTTGAAAGGCTCCTTCCAGGGAATAATGACTCAAACCCTGGACACTTGGGTGATCAATAAATGATTTTTAATGAATGCTCAGTGATGGGCTAAAGAGCATTTGAGACCCAGGAATCCTAATTAAGCATGCATTAGCAGAGGCACAAAAATATGCATTTTGTCCACATTGTTAATAACATGTCGAGTTATATGGTGCAGTTTCTCTCTGAGTTT